ATTGAGAGCAACCGGGATGGATTTTTGTGTGATCCTTTGAATTCTGGTCCATGAAAGAAATTTGGGGGCTTTGCCTTCATTAATTTCCATATATGTCTTTTGCATCAGCTTTTACCTGGTGCCTCTTGGACTTGCTGTTGAAAGAAGGTAGATCCCATAAACTTGAAACCTGGGATCTCAGTCAGCTAATATGGTGGATCCCAGCTAGATCAGGGTGGATATCTTTAGCTATGATACTTGTATCAGGTCATTGAATAAATTATTTTTGACCAGCAAAAGTAGCCTTGAAGGTGGGTTCACATAAACACCAGCATGGATACACATATTTCAACATGATACAACTGCCACCTACTTCCAATAGTAGATGACAAAATGTCCCTTTAATTGTCTTTCACTGTAGTTAGCCTTGCTGTAAATCACACAATTTAAAAAGGAGGAAGATAGGAGATGAGAAATTTTTAGGAAACATTTTAAGGGTGTGTCCTTTGTAAACTAGGACCTAAAGTCAAGAATAGCATCCAGTCCTGCAGTTTCATTATTGATATAAAATATCTTAGATAATAGTGGCTTCATATCCCAGTTAGCTTATGGTTGCATCTGACAAAAACATTTCTACTGTGTGTCTTGATAATAAACACAAGGGTAAACCACCCAGAAATTATTTTGATAAATTTATTCTGTAATCAAAACAGTCTCTTGGGCTAGGCAGGAACCAACTGACAGATATCTATGATATCTGAGAACTTTGTGCATCCATGCAAAATAAGGTTCCCAAATAATATTATGCAATTTTAAAGTCATATACAAGGTAGGATGCAAAACAACCACCAGCACCACTTATTAGCCTAATGCTGAGAACTAATTCCTGTCAAGTAACATGAGCAAAACAGGAATAATCAGAGAAAAGGGGGGAACATGTCTTTATGCTACATTTTCAGCAAGCTTGTAGGATAAATAAAGTGGATTGATCCTGAAATATTATTTCTCTTGGTGTGAGTCATCACTGGAGAAGATTATTTTAACAACAGTGGTTAGTCTGTATTACACAATATCATTAGCCACTAAGTGATTTTTCTGTGGTTCTGAGTAGGAAATGGAACATTGCAATCATTTACATGCTTGGACATCAGTCAAGGCCTACATTACCTTATTTTCCTGCATATAAGACTACTTTTAAACCTGCAAAATCTGTGGTTAAAGTGGGGGGGGTCGTCTTATATGCCGGGTATAAGGATAAGGAGGATAGAGGTGCTGAAACTCTATATTTTGACTGGAAAAATGGGGGGGGGATGTCATCTTATACGCCGAAAAATACGGTACCTATCAGTCAGAGAACAGATGAAATCAGAATCCTTTTTATTTCTTCTCCAAGTCCAAGCATTTAAT